CTACTTATGACACTACATCCTGCCTGCCTCTATTATCATTTACCTGTCTATAATGCTGTAATTTTTTTTTTGCAGGAATTCGGCGAAAAGTCAGCGATCTCAGCTAGACTTATGTGTAGTAGTATTCAGAACAAAGTCTGGTCCAAACGCACAAGTTGGGAAATTGGTTGCCCACAGTAAGAGACAGGTAACTTATTATCATATTCTTTTCATCATAAGCTATCGATATTTTACGTATGTACTGGTGTCCCAGAAATATGGATAAATCTGTAACAATCGATCCCTAATCTGACTTGACCATTGTAATCGATATCGATCTCTAATTTGCTTTGACATTTGTAAATGTATCACGGTTTTCAAGATTTTTTCACAACATTGGTTTTGGGACATCCTGTATTATGTGTTATTTATTTTCCAATGTTCATTTCCCGTGTTTAAAGTTGCTGCATTCAAATATGTTTCGATTGCAATGTGAAAATATCTCAAGTAATAAATAAATGAATAAGTAAACACTTACGCAAGCTAATGTGTGCTTTATTTACGTCTTGATACGAACCAATTTCGTCAATTCATCAACCCCAATACTGTTTCAGGTCCGCGGCTTCGTCGGCTGCCACAAAATGCTCGAAAAGGGCTTCTACCTAGTCGTCTGTCTAGCCTTCAATCATTGGCACACTGGTCTCGAGTTGGCGCCAAAGTCAGTGTGGCCTGGCCACGTGTTGGCCGCACATTCATCCAAACCATTGGCGGTGGAGCGGCCATCTTTACATCCACATATACTGGCAGATGCGATCATAGGTTTGACGCTGGCAAGGGGTCAGAGACATGAAGGTCGGCAGGGGATGACGGCGTATTATCTCACCAAGGTCTGTATTTTTTAGCGATTGTGGTATCTTATGTAGTTTTAATTGGTGCTGTTAGCCCAGCCTTAATGTGCTTTTTTACTTAGAAAACTGCATCTTTGATTACTAATCAGACATACAGACAAAGGGTTCTCTTTTATTACATTACTGAACCCTAAATTTAACCATTAATTTTATATTTACAGGGCTGGGCAGGTCTAGTAGTCATGGTGGAGAACAGACACACAGACAAGTGGATTCACGTGAAGTGCGACTGCCAAGAGAGCTACAACGTGGTATCAACGCGGGGTGAACTGAAAACCATAGATTCTGTACCCCCATTACATAGGTAAGTTTAGTAACCCTATCTGCTATATGGTTTAATGAGAGTAGTGTGGATATACACTCGACATCAAATAAATCGCACCTCCCGCGACAAGCATTTTCAAACGTATGCATCCCCACTTCCCATCAATATTGGCACCATTTAAAAGCCTAGTTCTAACCTTCATTTCATTAAAGGAAAGGTTTTTACCCCAAAAATGTGTCTTTAGAAGGATCCAGAGTCACTTCTTCAAAAAAATAGGTAGTTACGCTTGAGCCAACTTTTATGGCTATAAAACTGTTAAGTTGGGATTAATCTCTATCCATCTGTTAAAGAGGACACGTGAGATCAATATTTGGTTTTATAACCATAAAAATTAGTCTAATTGATCCCATAGGTGGGCCCAAAGTGAGGTATTTTTTCAAGTCACATTTATGGTATATGTTAATCATTTATTAAAAAATTAAATGTGTTTTTCTTTAAGAATATTTATTGAGCTTTCAAATAACACCAATATTGTTGGGTACCATGATTGTGTCAGAAGAAAATCGTTAAAGTTCGCGTCGCGGAAGGTGCGGTTTATTTGATGTTGAGTATAGTTAGCGTTGCTTACTGAAAACGATGATCAGTTGACGAAAATTTATGTATTTTTAATTTTTAGGTACTTGTAGTCAGCCTCGTTACAAAATGGCTGCCACTGTTACATTATTCCTTAAAAATGACTTGATATCTAATTAGACGGTTTTCAATGCCAAATATTCATATTTTAGCGCCGTTACTCTCAATAAACAAAATTGTAATTTTATCTCGGGTTTTTCCAGACAAGTGATAATAGTCCTCACCCAGCTCGAAGGCAGCGGCGGTTTCTCCATAGCCCACCGTTTAACACATCGCCTCGCTGCCGGGGCCCGCTTGCAAGACTGGGCCCCACACGCCGACGACGAGCCCCGCCACAGACCGCCCCTGGCCCGGCGTCTATACGGCCTCCACGCCCCCCGACTTATCACTTAAGAGGTAAGACCTTAGTCACTCGTATTAAAAGACATGGGATTTGAAAGAATTGTTGTGATTGTTATTTATATTTTTTGTCATGTTGATAACGTGTAATGTCATCCGTGTCTATCTGAAAATATGATGATGTCGTCTATATAGCAAAACACAAACTTGCGAAGAAAATGTTGAAGTTTATCGCCTAATTAAATTGAAAAGGTTTTGGATCGCTGAACTAATCAAAGTGCAGACGTCAACACAATTTAAATGCTTTGAAAGCAAAAACTTATTGAAATATTGAACTAAATTTAACTCATTGATATTTGATAGAATGCTTAAGCTGAATCCAGGCAATTGGAATTAAGAACACACTCGATTTAACGAAAAGAAGAAGATGCAAAAATCACAGCCCTGTTAAAGTATTAGATTTTGGAAAACTTATATGTAATGGGCATGCAGATTTAGACATAACTTTCAAATGTTTATAGATGTGCTTGGAAATGCTAAATACACTTAATACAAATTATAATGGCAAAGAATATATGCGAAAATAGAATGGACCTGTTAACACAAAAGATTTGATATTTTGAATCTCAATTTCTGATAGATAATAAGAATAAATTAAGTTTTTGATACAGCACAATGCGTCACTCATGTTGAATGTACAGTCTCACTCCATAACAGTGTTACATAGTATTACAGTTCTTATTGTAAGGGGAAACAGTTCAAAATGGCGTGATCATGAACGTGTGTAAGCAATACGTTAAAGTCTAACTCGTTTTTTACTAATAATGATCTGTAGTTATTGTATGCTATGACGAAATAGATTAATCGTGCGTATTGACTTAAGTCTAGATATTGTAGTTTGTAACAAAAACTTAGAAGACTCCGTTAAAATAGTTGTTTGAGGCACTTGGCTTGCCATTAGGAATTTGAATTTTATTTTTGCAATAAAATTCTTAATTGATTCAACCTTAATGCCTCTTATTCCATTTCAAATAGTCACTTATATTCATTTATTTGTTTATAACTACAGGAATATAAAGTATATTTTTTATCTTCAAAGTTTTTGTCACATACTGTATAATATGTATTACTTATAGCCGATAATATTTTTTCTACTATGCATAAAATATCAGGACATGTAGAGTGAACGGACGACGCGATAAGTTTATTTTTTCATAATATTTTTCGTGTCGTCTGTCCAACGCCGTATTTTTGCTGTTACAAAACGCACGTTATTTTTGACAGCATAGGGTTGAAATCACGTTGCTACGATATATCATAATAATATTTTGGCATTAAAGAGATAAGTATTCATCAGAAAAGGTACGTTTTTAAATATATTTTTATTTATTTATTAAAAAAAACTTTTATTATTTATTTTTTTAAATACATCATATGTCTAGCTAGAATAATCTTTTTTGACACATCTTGTTAAAAAATGGTAGACATACATAATTATCATTATTGTATAAAATGTAACACAATTTCCGATCATAAACAATATCGTATCTAAATAGTAATCGTTGTATGTAGTTGTATTTATAATGTACACTCGATTATAATAATGTCGGTTTTGATCTCGAAACGAGTATTATTAATAATATGGAGTTATTAGAATCACTGCATTACATTGTGTGCTTGGATTTCGTACTAAACAATTTTATTACTCAGTCTGTTCTAATTTTATTGAAAAGGTCGGTTAATTTTGTTTTAATTTATTTAACTTTAGTTTTTAATTTGATTGCAAATAATTTTTAGACTACATTTAAAATTAATATAGATGTGGCCTAAAATTACTACTAAGTACGAAACCCCAGCACACAATTACGGAAAAAAAACATTCGATAAAATGTTAAATTATTTCCATCAATAAAAATTGTAACGTCAAAAAACTGTCAAAAACGGATGGTCGTAAGCATTCTGTGATTTGAAATTTGACGATTAATGTCCAGTGATCAGACATACAATTCCAGTGCTGCCACCTGTGGTCACATACAGTACTATTTTAAATAGACGACGAGTCATTTTTAATAATAAATGTAAATATTAATAACTGCTTAATAGAGTAGGCTTCATAGACGGGTTATATTGAAACGCTATTATTATTATTATTTTTAGCAAAAAAGACAAATTGATTTTATTTGTTCGTGTTGTTCAAGTTCTTGAATTTAATAATATGATTATTTTAATAATTGTTTCATGTGAAATAGGCACCAATATTTATTTGCCCACTTGTCAAAATCATATGTATTTTTTTATTCATACATACAGCTGAGTACACACTCAAGCAAGAGGCCATGTAATATGTATACTTTTAAGAGTCAACATACTAAATTATTTACTTACGGCTACTTAATTTAAATTTTGGGTAGATAAATATTTATTTTATTGGTGCCATCGTCTCTATTATCACTAAGGTCGGTTTCGATACAATATTTTTCTTAAAGTATTGATCCACTTTTAGTTTGACATTTGACAGAAGCTGACCTTGTTATTGATATTCGTGTAAAAATACTTTGCTGTCATTTAAATCCACATCAGTCATATTTTATGTTACTTGGTTTAATTTATAATGTGTTTTAAAAATTGTCAAAGACAGAAAAAGACAGCAAATGTTTTTTTTAAATAAAATTAATACTCATTGTTAATTTGGATAGTTATTATAAATATATTTTTAATTTATTTTAAATTGAGCGTTCGGAGGGTAGGTATAAAAAACTAATAAGAGCGTGGCATGGCTTTATTGTGAGAAAATTTAGGATTATATGACAGTTCAAGGAGTTCCACAAAGCACGATCTGCTTTTTCATCCAAACACTGCCAGCTGCCTTTTTCTCATTGATCCAATCGAGAGTGCGTTTCTACAACCCGATGGAACTAACTGCGAGAGTGAATAGGCACTTACAGGGCAGATATTTACTATCTCACTTAGGCTGGTTTTAGTGTCACGCGGACTGTCAGTGCGGATAGCTCCGCACAGCCGATCTGTATGAACTGCTAGGGAGCGGAGCGGTTCCTCCGGACCGCATTACTCTAAAACGCTCCCTAGAAGTTCATACAGATTGGCCGTGCGAGCGGGTACGCACCGGACGGTCCGCGTGACACTAAAACCAGCCTTAACACCAGGTGCGATTCAACTGTCCACTGCCACAATAGTGCATGAAGAATTTTTGCATAGGCGACGGTCTCGTAAAAAAAAGAGACGCCTCAGTGAATTAGATGCAAAGTCAATGCCTACCCTCTTTATTTTTTTAGTTTAAATTTTAACGTACAGACGACGGCATATCAAACTGAACTTCTGGTCTTATGCAACGGTAATAGGTGCGATTATGCAATGATAATGTTTAATTTAATATGCTGTCGACTGTACTTTTAACAACAAATCTTGCCATTATTTTGCTTTACAACGATACGTTAAAGCTAGTATAAGTTAAGTTTCGGCCAAACCAACGCGTGCAGCGTGAATACGCGATGGCGATCAGAGTGCTTAGTGTGAGTTTACATCAAATGTCGTCACTAGTGAGCGCGTAATAATGACATTAAATGTATGACGGATTGTACAGCGCCCCTAGCGGAAACTTTCAAGAACTAAAATTTTCATATTTTTTTTAACACGCTCACTAGTGAGGACTTTTGACGTAACTTACACTACGCCCCCTGTAGGCTGCACGCGTTAGTTTGGTCGAACTTTTAGTAATAACGGGCCTACAAACTGCGTGCAATATTTTACAGTGTGGATCCTTGTTTTATTAGATGTATAATTTATATGGTAAAGGCACAAAATGTCAGCACATTCTATAAATAATAAACATGGTATTAATCATCGTAGTTATTTAGATTGGGTATAAATAGATAGGGAGTTGAAGTGCGACACGAAATCGTTTTAGCAATTTTTTACTTATTTTTTTATTTCCTGTTTTTTTTTACTTACTAGGTAAGTTTTTAATGTTAAAATAATACAGAAACTTTTTTTTATTTATGTTTATGCAGTTTAACAGTGATACAAAACTGATCTTTTATCAAATAATATCCTCCATACATTAATACTTTCTTTTTAGTCATTCGTTAGAAGCCGTTGGCTTTGTTTTGTGTCGTACTTAACCTTAGGCAACCCAAACTGAACCGTATCGCAGCGCCTTAGAGCTAGTAATCACGTATCATACGGACATAATGTTAACAATTTGTACACTAATAGTCTAAGCTTTTATAAAATCAAATGTTTGATGATTTTTTGTACAGTCTGCGATATGAATAGCCAAGCAAAATGTTGCTTTACACCAGTGGACATTAGTGAGGGTCGATGATAGTATTTCTGTGGCCGACTGTACATTTTTGGTACTTTTTCTGACTAGTGTAAGTTTCTTGTTTCGCCCTGGATTGTGCCATATTCGATGTTTAATCTTTTTCCATATTATTTTGTAATTCAATGCGTATTTCGTAGGTTCTTTTAGTAGAAGTGTTTTTTGTATGTCGAATTGGGTGGTTTCAGATGTAGAACGCAAATGCAATACTTTTGACCTTATGTCCTTTGCTTAAGGTCCCCAAAAATATTTATGCATATAATTTAAAGTAAGCCGTAAACCAATTGACTGGTTTTGAAGTAAAAAAATAAATCGGTGGCATTACCAATCCACTCGTAATATATAAAGTATCAAAACGAATAAATAAAAGATTTTTCTTATCAGTCTCATAAAAATTTGGTTGCCAGAAACAAAAAAAATTAAGTAAAGTTTTGTGATATTACAGTTTTCGATTAACGATGAAATCTTGATAAGATTTCTTAATGCTACTTACTTTGAAATTTTGTCAATGTCATACATCTGAAATCACGCAATTCTTACCCAAAACGCCTGATTTTTGAGAACGTTTACCTTTAAAATATTCCTTTCTATACATAACAGAGCACTGATTGTAATTCGATGTATTTTGATATCACTTGTTTATTTTAAAATTATTATTGTAACGACGTTGTTTTGTAGCCGACAAACGCTTATTTTTCGTGTTAGCTAAAGTGAATGCATGTTATACGTATTTATAATAAGAATAAGGAAATAAAATTATTTAAATTTAACTGTTTACGTTTCATTTTAGTGCTAAATTACCCTGTAAATTCGTTCACGTAAGTTTCACAACCCCCTCTATAGTCTGGTCTGTGAGCACGTAGAATTTTGTCCAATGACCGCAAGCTACCCATCCTTATCGCTCGCGCGTAATTATGTTGCTGTCGCGCTCGCACACTCACTGCGGGCGCCCGTCGCACAGTCGCGACAGCAATATAATTACGCGCGAGCGATAAGGATGGGTAGCTTGGGGTCATTGGACAAAATTCTACGTGCTCACAGACCGGGCTTTAGTCTGTGTGCTTAGTGCGAGTTTACATTAAACGTCATCGCTAGCTACTCCGTAAGAAATGAAATGCGATGTTTGACAGCGTCCCTAGCGGATACTTTCAAAAACTACAATATTAGTAGATTTTGACGCACTCGCTACCGATGATGTTTAATGTACACTCGCACTAAGCGCACTGATGGTTCTCTTGTCCATTTACAATGGTCATTTTTTTGTCCTCCGTTCTTTTAGTAGGTCTGTAACAAAAACATTATTTTGTATGGACAATGATCACTAAACGAACTACGGGTTCGAATCCTGATGGCGAATGTTAGTGTACAGACAGCACACATCATGGCAAACATTGGATCATCTTATTATGTGGCAATAAGAACGATTTTTCAACCAATGAGGGTTTTCGCTATTGAAAAATCCGCCAGATGGCAATACGTAGACGGGAGGTCCAAATGCTACATGATTGGTGGATTTTGACATATCTGTCAATGTCATGTCAAAATTAACCAATCATGCAGCATTTGGACCTCGCGTCTACGTATTGCCATCTGGCGGATTTTTCAATCGCGAAAACCCTCATTGCTGGTGTCTTACAAATAACCCTGTATTAAAAATCCTTATTTATTTACACCCTGTATACTATCATTTCGCATTTCCTTCTAGTTCTCAAACTTCTGAACTTGCAAGACATTGAACGCTTTCTGTGAATATGAAAATGCGCTTGCTTCGTGGAAGACACCGATTTGAAAATTTTGAAATGCTTTTGAAAACTTTATATGCGAGTGACATACGGTGAACCCCAGAAGAAGAAAGGTGTTACGAGAAAACGACTTACAAACGTCATGGCTTCAAAGGTACCAATTTTTACCATTATTATCCATCTGAATACAACAATGTCCTCTTTCAATGTCCTCAAAAATAGGTTACGTAAATTCAGTCATCATCATCATCATTTCAGCCATAGGACGTCCACTGCTGAACATAGGCCTCCCCCAATGCTTTCC